TGCTGCAGGCCTGCTATATGCATTCCTGTGAGGTACCAGGTGGCCTGCTGTGTGCCTGTGAGCTGCAGGCCCACTGTGTGCATGGCTCCCTCCTGCCAGTCCTCTGTGTGTGTGCCTGTGAGCTGCCGGCCTGTCTGTGTGAGCTCCTCCTGCCAGTCATCCGGGTGCTGCCAGCCCTCCTGCCCCACCCTGGTCTGCAGACCTGTCACCTGTAGCAACCCCTCCTGCTGCTGACCAGTGTCTGCAAACCAGTTGCTGTTACCATAGACAGGACACATCTATCTCTACCCACCTCCTTCCATGACTGTGGGTTTGGCATGAGGCAAGTGGGGAAGCATGTCCTGGCCATCCTGGAACTATGAGAGAATGCAGAACAGATTCCCCTGGCCTGACCTTCTGTAAGAATGTCCTACCTCAGCTCCCCTTCTCTTACCCCCTGTGCCAAATAAAGTGTCTTCTCTAGTCAGCTCTACGTGTCTGTCTTGGTTCCTGTGTGTATAGTTGCTTTAGTATCAGAAAGCATGTAATATCAGTGCTCTCTAGGATCCAGCCTCACTGTGGCTCTTCATTAGGTGGAACGCAGGACAGAGGACATGAGCAGACAAAGTAGATGTGGTCATGTCCCTGCCCTGTCCGTCTGCCCTTGAACACATGGCCCCTGCCATGGACCCTCTGTGGTTCCATCCTGCCTCCCCTGGTTCTCCTTCCCCAGTGCTGCAGGGGCTGCATAGGTAGCAGATGTTAGGTCGGCTGGATCGTCCAGGGCTGAATTTCCCTCTTCTCTTGGGACGTCCTGTGCCATGAGTCACGATGACTTTCTTCCTTCCTGGCAGCTTTTGAAAGCTGGATCTTGGATTTGTGATCTAAACTTGTCAACCACCACCACCACCACTGTGGCATGCCTGCTCATTTGTTCTTGATGACCAGATACAATAATCCCCTCCTGTCACTTCCAGTATGGAGGGACACTGGACACATCGTCCAAGTTCCACTCATGTCTTGGTGCAGATGCTTCTAGAGTCAGGCGAGTGCTGTTCTGTGTTTTCAGTGGATCAAGTTAGCTGCGTCCTATGCCTCAGGCTGGCACTTTTGTGTTGCTCATAGTCATGATGTTGACATCCTGGGGTTGCTCTTTCCTTGGGTAGTGTTGGCTACCGTTCCTTCTCTCCTGTGCAAAGCTTCACCCCCAGTCTCCTGCAGTCTTTTGTGCTCACTCCTCATAGAACAGCAGGTGCACAGTGCCTAGGCTCTGCTGAAGCCCTGGGGACTGTCCTGGACCCGTCCCTCTGTGGAGTTCTCACTGCTGGCCACCTACCTTAATACATGAGTTGTAAAAGTCATTTATAATCCAGATGCCTACATGGTCAAGGACACACTGTGTTGATTACATGAGGGATCTGAATGAAAATAAATCACATAGAATCATTCATCATGGGATAATAGTCCTGAACACAAACACCCTACTACATGCGTACACACGGGCCAGTGCACACACAATCATACATATATGCACTCTCATACCCACTCCCTCATGCACTCAGAATCACACAGTGAAATGCAATCACACACAGAGAAGCCTGCTCATGTATAAACATTCAGGCACCACAATCTTACACACATTTCTGTGCCTCCTTCATGCTTAAGCACACACACACACACACACACACACACACACACACACACACACACACACACACATTCATGCATGCTCCCTCAAACATATCCACATTTTATGAAACACCTATGTATCTCCATATATCCACATACCCTGTGTGCCTTACACTCACACATGCTTAGAATCTGGTGCCTCATTGGAAGGTAAAATTACATTTAGAGACTGAGAAACAAAGGGATTCTCTGATAGTATCAACTTGACTGAATCTATAATCTATAAGAGACATCTCTGGGCATGCGTGTGAGCAATTATCTAGATTAGGTCAATGAAAATGGGGAGACCCACCCTGAATGTGGGTGGCACCAATCATGGGCTGGGGTTCTGGGCTGCATAAAAAGGAGAAAGTGAGCTGAGCACCAGCATTTCCCTCTCTCTGCTGAGCACCACAATATCCCCCTCTCTCCGTGTGACTACCAATGGCAATGTGACCAGCTGCCATGACTTCCTCACCATGACGGACTTTATCCCTCTGAGCCGTGAGATGAAATAAGCCCTTCCTCCCTTAAATTGCTTCTTGTTGCGCATTTTGCCACAGTGACAAAGTGACTAATAAAGAATCTGGAGCCTTTTGCAGCGGACACTAGTGTCAGCTCTGGCCAGCCCTTGCAGTGTTTACTTTTCTTACCTCTGGGGCAGGAAAGAACAACGTGGCTCCTGTTCCCATCCTGAACCTTGGAAAGGTGGGGTCTGGCCAATTTCTTGTTGTCCTAGTGCCAAGTGACTTCCCTTTAATGGTGTCAATCTCTTTAACAACTACGCTCTCCTCAGCACAGCATGCTGACTGCTTCCTTCCCTTCTGGTGGTCAAGTTGCCTAATTTTCATCTGCTTTGCTTCTCTCTCTCTCTCTCTCTCTCTCTCTCTCTCTCTCTCTCTCTCCCTCCCTCCCTCCCTCCCTCTCTTTCTCCCTCCCTCCCTCCCCCCCTCCCTCCTCCCTCCCCCTCCCTCCCCCCTCCCTCTCCCCTCCCCCCCTTATCTTAATTCTCATTATATATCTGGCTAAAAGCAGCCAGCAATAACCAAGCCACCATCTTTGCCATCTTGAAATTTTTTTCCATCAAATTAATTTGTTCGTTACTTGGAATTTGTGCTCTGACATGATAAAAGGCACACAAATCCTTTCCAAGAGTAACACACGAATGGCCTCTGGTCCCAGTAGCATCCTTCTCCCATTTGAAACCTCAAGAGCACACCCTCCTGTCTGAATGTCTGTTGGTATTCTGGTCTTCCGAGACCCACCAGGAAGTCCCATTGGTTCTGTTTATAGCACCCTTGGGATTACAAAGCCAGAGCTTTTACACATTCTGTCCACAAAGGAACCAAAGGCCCGAGAACCACATGGCCAGTGTCAGTCCCAGCAGAGTCCTGACTTCTCCCAAGAACTGCATGGCCAGCGTTAGTCTCAGCGGAGTCCTGACTTCTCCCAAGAACCCCATGGCCAGCGTTAGCCCCAGCAGCGTCCTGACTTCTCTGATACTCACCTTCTCTGTTAGTTACCTTTGTATTTGCTGTAATAAAATGCTCAATGCAGCCACTTAAAGGGAAGAAGGAGTCGTTCTGGCCCCTGATCTCAGAGGTTCAGTCCATCATGGGTGGCAGAGCAGTTCATGTCATGACGGGCCATGTGACAGCAGACTAGGGATGGTGTTGCTAGCTTGACTTTCTCCATTCCTTTAGTCCATCTAGTCCCTTAGTCCCTCAGCTCATGGGATGTCCCCTTGACCAGGGTTAAGGAGGTCTATCCTCTCAGCCAATCCTCCATGAAGACACATGGACAGGTCTTAGAGTGTGCCTCCGTCTCCTAAGGGATTCTGAAAATTTTATTTATGTATTTTATGTACATGAGTGCTCTGTCCTCATGCACAACAGAAGAGGGCATCAGATCTCATTACAGATGGCTGTGAGCCACCTTGTGGTTGCTGGGAATTGAACTCAGGACCTCTGGAAGAGCAGTCGAGTGCTCTTAACCACTGAGCCATCTCTCCAGTCCTTTCTAGGAGATTCTAAATCCATCAAGTTGACAGTGAAGACGGACCATCACCCCTCTCCTCCCAGCCTCTTTCTATGGTAATGTTCTCCAAAGGGCAGGTCCTAAGAAGGAGGTTCAGAACGTGGGAAACTGACAACAGGATGAGGGTTGATACATTTACTCACCTGGGCAGAAGTCTAATTTTATTCCATGTCAGCAGAAAAGAGTGACAATCAAGATGGGAAGGAGGAATTTGAGTATGCCCCTGCTCCTCAGAGCTGAGTTCCCTCCTGGCTCTGCCTGATCATGGTAGATAGTGCTCACCTAGGCTGATGATGGTGACGACCCTAGTATTTGAGGGACCTGCAGAGCAGCACTCAGAGGACTGGAAATTGCGAGCCCCAGCAGGCCAGCATGCAGGAGTCAGCAACAGGGCCCGGGGGACCTCCAGGCAGCAGTGGTTCCCACAGCCTTGGCTTGAGTGGTGGCCAGTGGAAGAGAAGCAGAGAAACAGTCTGGGGAGCCATTCATGTGGCCCCTCGGGCTGGGCTGAAGGGGTGCTGGGCAGAGGAAGGAACAGATCTGCACATGAGTGGTCACGCATGGAAGTACAGTCCTGTATACATGTGTATGGCTATATACACATTTGCACTCAGATACACACTCATGCACAAACTCTGAGCCACTTGTGCATTTAAGCACATGTTCACACTCCCCCACATTCAGTCTCTCTCTCTCCACACACACACACACACACATATACACACACACGCACGCACACACGTACGCACACACACACGCATGCACACACACACACACACACACGTGCACACACACATATGCACACACGCACACACACACGCACACACGCGCACACGCGCACGCACGCACGCACGCACACCCTGATTCCCAGCTGTCCTCCATGCCCTTCCCATCTGCTGTCTGACGTCATCTCTGAGCTACAGCATGCTCTGTCAGGGTCTGCCAACCCTTGAAGTGCAGTCTCTGGTTGTGTGAGGACCATTGTGCCATAGGGAGGGGCATCTGATCTCCTGGATCTTTGGGGGTATCACAAAAAAGAACTCACGGACAGCAACAGAGCAAGTCTGAACAGAGAAGGTGCTGGAAGAGCCCAGGTGTCGAAGGAGCTTGGAGAAGGTGTAATTAGCCATGAAGCTAAGGGAGAAACAAAAACAGAAACACAGACACAACAAAGCCAGCCTGGGAGGACAAAGGAAGCAAATAAGGAAGGGCAGCTGCATTCTGGGTAGTTAAGGGGCACTGGGCTGGGTATAAAAGCCACCCCAGGAAGGAGTTCCAGTCATCCCCACCCTCCTCCAGACCAGCCAGCCTCCACCATGTGTCACACCAGCTGCTCCTCAGGCTGCCAACCAGCCTGCTGTATGTCCAGCCCCTGCCAGCCAGCCTGCTGTGTGTCCAGCCCCTGCCAGCCAGCCTGCTGTGTGTCCAGCCCCTGCCAGCCAGCCTGCTGTGTGTCCAGCCCCTGCCAGGCATCCTGCTGCAGGCCTGCTATATGCATTCCTGTGAGGTACCAGGTGGCCTGCTGTGTGCCTGTGAGCTGCAGGCCCACTGTGTGCATGGCTCCCTCCTGCCAGTCCTCTGTGTGTGTGCCCGTGAGCTGCCGGCCTGTCTGTGTGAGCTCCTCCTGCCAGTCATCCGGGTGCTGCCAGCCCTCCTGCCCCACCCTGGTCTGCAGACCTGTCACCTGCAGCAATCCCTCCTGCTGCTGAACAGTGACCCAGTGAAGATGGGACAATCTGTCCCCTCCTAGCACCTGTCCTCTGGCTGCTGGTTCAGCATAGGAGGCAGACAGGAAGGCTATCCTGCCCACCCTGACTCTGGAGAGAGAACACGGAAAAGTTATCTGGATCCCCCTCTCCTTACCCTTTGGAAGGGTGCCCTGGCGCCAGGGCCATCTCTAACTTTTATAAATAAACCAGTTTCTCCAGTTCAACTCCACCTGTCTGTCCTGTTTCATGTCCATCGTTCTTGGCTGCTTTCATTCCAGAAAAGATGTAAGAGCAATGCTTGTTTTGTTTTGTTTTGAGACAGGGTTTCTCTATGTAGCTTTGAGCCTTTCCTGGATCTTGCTTTGTAGTCCAGGCTAGCCTCAAACTCATAGAGATCGGCCTGGCTCTGCCTCCCGAGTGCTGGGATTAAAGGTGTGTGCCACCACCACCTGACAGGGTAATGCTTTTTTATGACTCAGTGTCATGATGATTCCTTGAGATGTAGGACATGGAGGGTTTAGCCTGATATGAGTGTGGTCAGGTTCTTGCACATTAAGTAAGCCCTGGAGCACACCCCTGCCATGGACTCATCCTCTCTCATGGCTCTGTCTTCCACCCCACCCCCTCTCTAAGTGTCCTTGCCCCAAGAGCTTCCTGGATGGAGAATGCTCACTGTCCTCCGCTGGTTTTTTCCTCTCTGGTGGTTTCATATCGTGGCTCATGGTGACTTTTCTCACCATAGGCCAGCTTCTGAATGCCAGAATCTGAATGCCAGATGTGGACTTGGTTATCACTCCTCCACCTGCTCGTCACTGGTCCAAAGGTGCCCATTTTCTTGTGACTGATGATCCATTATATGTAATAAATACACAGTCAACACAAACTGAGCACAGCGTCCTGTGACAGCAGCGTTCAGGGCAGCTGCTTCCACAGTTGTGTGCATATAGATCTGGGCTTTGAATGAACAGTGGCCATATTTCTATGTCCTTTAGGTGTGAGCTTTCAAGTGTAAGTCCCTTTTGGCTGTTTGTATGTCCAGGGTGACTTCCCTCTGTACAGTGTTGGCGACAGCCTTTACATTTTCAGTGGGTTGCTTCATCCCTGTTCTCTTACAGGGTCATGTGATCATTCCCTATAGAGGTTCCGGGGATGGGCAAGCCTGAGGTTTTCCCATTTTGCTTTAGGTTGGGTGTTTTCCCAGGCCAGTCCCTCTGTAGAGTTCTTGCTGCTGACTTTGTCATGCCCCAGGCTTTTCTGTGACACCTGCAGGCCGGGGATGAGATGTAAGTTGCAGCATGATTATATACCCCAACAACCAAGGTGGCCTGTGACTTGCTGTGTACTTAAAATGGGGGCTGTGAATGAATCTGAGCCAGAAAGGAACCAGTCATCATGAACTAACTAACTCTCCTGAATGCATCCGCAAGCACACACAGGCTTACACTCTCACATGTATACACACATACACATCCTTGCATGTCCACGCACACTCATGAGCTCTGCACACTCATGTTTATCACACACAGCTGTGGTCTCAAGCAGGAGGTGGAATTGGATTCAGAGCCATAGGTGGGGGGAGTCTGTAAGTTCCTGACACTTCCACTGGAAGGCACGGGGTGCAGAACTGATGCCTCTTTGCCCATTTGGTATTAGCTGCTTTTCACACTGATAAAATCCCCAACAATGCAACTTAAAGAGGAAGGCGCCATTTTGGCTCACGGGTTTACAGAGCTCACTCCCTTGTGACTGAGGACAGAATGGAGACGTTCATATCATGGTGATCAGGGATCTGAGAAGGGGGAGTGCCGGTGCCCTGCTGTTTCCTCATCCCTGCTTGTATTCAGTTCAGCCCTCTAGCCTATGGGATGGCATCACCCACCTTGATTATTCCTATCTGGAAAAGCCTTCATAGACATGTCCAGGGGCTTGTCTCAGTCTCCTACAAGAGTCTAAATCCAGTCAAGTTCTCAATGAAGGTTATCAATCAGATGTCATCCCAAGGTAACTTGGCATCCACAGGCCTCACTTTAAATCGGAGCTTTGCACCCCTGACTCCCCAAAATTCATGCCCATCTCCTGGTGAAGAAACCACCCATTCCATCTGTGGTTCCCGATACTCTCAACAGTTTCAACACAGCTCAGATGTTAAGTGTCTTTAGTGGTTCAAGGAAAACTATTATTTAAAAATAATTTTTGTAGGGTCTTTGGCAATTTTATATATATATATATATATATATATATATATATATATATATATATATATATATATGCATTTTGCTCATTTTACCCCATTCCTCTCTCTCATCCCCCTCTCCCTCTCTCTGCTCCCTTCATCTTCCTGACCTGTTCACCTCCTACTCTTTTTAATAACCCACCGAGTTTAACCAGGCTTGCAGGAGCATGTGCAGCACTGGGGGGTTATTTACTGACTTGGGGGAACTAAGTGGCTCCCCTGCTGAGACAATACTGGGATGTCGACAGCTTCGGTCTTGTCCAGTAACCACTCAGCTTCATGAGTGTAGTAGCTATGTCATGGCCAGGAGAGAGCCTTTTGTGGTGCTTCTCACCATCCTCTGACATTCTTTCTGCTCCATCTTGTCTCCTGTGACATTCCCAGGACCTTTGAGAAGAAACAATGTAGGGGTCCTGTCTAGGGCTGAGCCGTCGACAGTCTCCTACTCTCAGCACTCTGACCAATTACAGGTCTCTGTGTCCCTGGCTTCCCACTGCAGAGAGAGGCTTTGCTGAGTAACGCTGAGAACAGCGTCAGTCTATGGGTATAAACATAAACATTAGGAAGGCACTTTGACTGCAAGGCTGTTTGTTGGTTTGTTTTGTTTCTTCCAGACAGGGTTTCACTGTGTAGCCCTCGATGTCCTAGAACTCGCTCTGTAGATCAGGCTGGCCTTGAACTCATAGAGATCTGGCTGCCTCTGCCTCCCGAGTGCTGGGATTTGAAGGTGCATGTCCATTTATAAAAGCAATACTAGTAGGTTCTCTCGACGTAAACTCTTAGCTGTGAGTCCTTAGAACACCAAAATCAAGTTACGTGTGTACAACATTCAGTGCCAGAGTACACAGCCCCATTCCAGAATGGACAGAATGGGGCATAGAAGGGAAGAAATCAATCAGAGCTCAGCAGGGCGATAGCAAACCTACAGCACAATGTTGGGCATCTGAGGTAAGTTCTGATGAGACCGTACAAGGGCTTGGGCTGCCCCATCCATATGTCCTGGCTGGTTGGAACCCCTACTGACTCGCCATTGAGATGACTCCCTTTTTGTCTGTGGCTTTCCTTGGCAGATGTCTCAAGTACTTGGTACCTCTGATGCTCTTGGGTCTCCATTGTAGCCTAGGTTTCACCCTCACGACACCACACAGCCCCCTCTCAGGGACTCCTCACAGATATTCTAAATCCACTATACATTTCCTGGATCTTCTGGCTTTTCTTTAAAATGTAGGGCAGGCCTCCATGACCAGAGAGCTCTTACACACAGCATGCCTGCTGAGTTAGCACCACACAGATGGCACAGATGTGATGCCGGGTTGAACAGCAGCCAGGCCCCCATAGGTCATGGCTGCAGTGGCATATGAGGGCTTAGTGAATGGGAAATACTTCCACACAAATCAGAGTTTGGATAGGGCATGTCTGAGGCTCCTTTTTCTCCATGAGTAGTCTTTCAAATGAGTTTTCAATTTTCCACCCTGGTACCCATGATGAGAGAGAATGTAACTTTGTCATTACATCAGTGTAAGAGGTTAGCTTCTCCCCCATGTAAGTAGTCAAGTTTTATTGTGGGTTATGAGGAACCATGGCCATACAAAGATGGCGGAGCAGTAGGAGGAGAGCACCATTTGGCTGAGCCCATGGAAAGCTTCTCAGAGCAGGAAGGGGAATGATGAGCATGTGCAGAATATCTCCTTCAGACAGCTGAGTGCTTTCCTTAGGTCTAGATGGTACTCTGAGTCAAGACCACCAGGAAAAAGGAAGGCCATGGGAGGCAATGCATCATGATTGCAAAGCCAGTCGAGGATCCCACCAGTCAGCCACAGGACCTGAAGAGCCACATGGATGGAGACGTTGTTAGTTGGCAGATCATAAAGATGGTCAATGGTAACCTAACCTGTTGAGCTCCATAGGTGTGGGGAGCACATAGAGGGTCTGGTCGACATAAGCACTATCCATGCAGCAAAGCCCCAGTAGTAAGTGCAATTCTTGATGCTTTGCAAGAGCATGCATGATTCTGTGAGATAAGGGATGCCCAAAAAGCATCTCCAGCAGGCACCTGATAGAGTGGAATGAGTGACAGAAGGAGACTAGATGCACCTCTGTGTGTTCACTGGATGTGAAGTCATATTGTGGCCATAGATGATGGGTACCAGGAAGTAGAAGAGCAGCTTTTCTTTAATGGTGCTAGTCTCTTTAACAACAATGCTCTGCTTATCCACACTTTCAGCTTGCTCTCTTTCTGGCTAGATGGCATGTTTTCCAAATCCTTCTGTTCTACCCTTTGTACCCAATACTCACTGTAAATCCAGCTAAAACCAGACAGCAACAACCATGCAACTGCATAAAGGCTTTGCTGTCGTGAATTTCCTTTACCAAAATTTTTTTTTACACTCATACAGTGTTTCCAAGATACAGGAAAAAGGTCAATAATCCTTTTCCAGAATATAACACAAAGAATCTATAGTCCTGCTTCCAATACAGCCCCTGCTCCCTTTGGAAACCTCATGAGTACACACGATACTGTCTGAGTGTGTTTCTATTGGCATTCTGGCCTGAGTTCTAAGAGAGTTGGATGTTGTGGACAAGGAAGGTGTGTTGTTCAGGTTAAACTTTGTTCACAGAACTCTAGGGTTGCAACAGTCTACAGCTCCAGACTCTGACACATTCCTTCCACAGACCAACTTCAGACATCTCAGCGCCAAATGGTCAGGGTTACTCATGGCAATGTCCTGACTTCTCCCGCACCAGTTTTTCTGCATTTGATGTTTTT